TCACTACAACCTCTGTCTCCTGGGTTCAAGCAATTCTCCTGCCACAGCCTCCTGAGTAGCTGGGACTATAGGTGTGTGCCTCTTTAGAGGACCAGATGCCAGGAAATTCCAAGGGAGGTAGGACCTCTGTGTTAGACACTCCTATCACTCAGGAGATTACAAAGGTCTTACGAGCTCTGTGTCAGGAACAGAGACCAAAGACCAAATATTAGAACAAAAGATTCTCTTAGCACTCCCATTTATAAGGGTGTTAGGATCTCTGTGTCAGGAACTAGGGTCAAAGATGTGTGTGTGTGTGTGTGTGTGTGTGTGTCTGTGTATAATTTTTTCATATAGTGTCTCAGGCAAAAGGCCCTCTCATGAATTTAAGGGTATGTGCTTCACAGATTTTTCAGTCAAACATCAGAGCTTCTAAGAAGTATAAAGACATTATCCTCATTGTTTCAGCAGATGTACATGGTGTGGAAGAGATCTTCTCTTGAAGAAATTTGTGGGCATGGCCTTTGTCTAAAGGAGTGAGCCACAATAAATTTTACAGGAGATCCACATATTTTTAAAGAGAATGACATTCACAAAACACTGCCAGATTGGACAGAAAGGAACAGAGATAGCATAAAATCTGGGATCTCACTTTGTATCCCTTAAATTAAACTGACAGGAAGCAGCCTGGGGAAACTATGAAGCTGTAAATATGGGCTGCTTTTCATGGAAAGAGGAGGGTGGCTCAGAGACACACTCAAGCACAGAGGAAGGAGCCACAACCATGGAAAAACTGAAAATTATTTCTAGGTAGGAATTGAGCAAAGTCTGAACCAAGGAATATCCAACATTTGCCCAGCTAAGTTTCTTTCTTTCTTTCTTTTTTTTTTTTTTTTGAGGCAGAGTCTCCCCCTCTTGCCCAGGCTGGAGTGCAATGGCACAATCTCAGCTCACTGCAACCTCTGACTTACAGGTTCAAGTATTTTCCCTGCCTCAGCCTCCCGAGTAGCTGGGACTACAGGCATCTGCCACCACACCTGGCTAACGTTTTGTATCTTTAGTAGAGACAGGGTTTCACCATATTGGCCAGGCTGGTCTTGAACTCCTGACCTCGTGATCCACCCACCTCAGTCTCCTGAAGTGCTAGGATTACAGGCGTGAACCACTGTGCCTGGTGATAAAGTTCTGATTTTCTAAAGACCAGTGACTTTTTTTTTTTTTTAAGCAAACCTAGTTTAATAAATTAAAGAAACACAGGTGCCTGCTCAGGGAGAACATCCAGTTCCTGCTGACCTCTTCATAGTCTTCTCTGCGACTCCACTGCCACCTCCACCCGGGCAAGTCTAATATGCGGCCATCAAGGTTATAGCCATCTTGCCTTACTAATGCCACGGTGCCAGGCTGCACCCCAACATCAGCTGGCACATGACAGACGAGTGCATGCTGATGGGGGTCATGTTTGTCACCAATGGGTGTCAACTTCTCCAGGCCATGTTCAGCAAACACATTTTTCAGCTTTGCTTCTAAAAGCAAAAACCCTCAGAAGACCTTCTCCAGAGTGAGTTTCTGGTCCCCAGACTCTGATTCTTCAGAAATGCAGTCTGTAGCCTTCTTCAAAACGTCAGCCACTTCCACCAAGTCCTTACAGAAACTGGATTCCAAATATCTTGGCGTCTTCCACACATCTCTGGGTTTGCCTTCGCATGTTTTCACAATCAGCCCCAGCTCTCTGGTATCTCACTGTTAAATCCTGGGCTTCCTTTCCCAGTTTAACAGCTTTTACCCTTAAGGCTCATTCAGCAAGACAGGGCCCAAGCTCATCAGGAGGGTCCTCAGAATGGCCGTCCTCACCAGCAGTTCTCTGGGGGGCAGCGCTGAATGGAAGCGGCCATCCCTTGCTCTCCCATGTAGCGCTCGAGGCCAGTAGGTGTTGCACCTGCCGCTGACCCTCCCACAGGGACCGCACAGCCGTGTTGGACCAGTGACTTTTTCTTTTTGCCTCCTGCTTCCTTGAACAAGAATGTGTGTAGTGGTTTTCCTGTGACTGTTCTACACTGGACATTGGGGTTGTGTGTGTGGCAGATAGCTTGTCTCTAGCTCACAGCTTTTCATACTGAGAATTGTACTTGAGGAACTACACCTGAGGAATTTCCTCCACACCTGGACCTGATTTAAATGACGAGTTCCTGGACTAGTCCTCATGCCATAATGGGATGAGACTTTGGGAGGCTTTTGGTGGGGCTGAGTGTATTTTGCATGTGGGAGGAATGTAAATAATTTGTGGCCAGTGTGTGTACTTGGTGGCTTTAAAATACAGGCACTAATTCTTTAATACACTTTCCTTCAAGGGATGGAGGCGAATCCCTTTGAGAATGGGCTGGACCCAGTGACTGGCTTCCAATGAGTAGAACATGGCAGAAGCAACGGTTTGTGATTCCGGAGGCTAGGTCATTATTAACGGCACTATCACTTCCTCCTTCCACACCCTCTCTTGGATCGATCAGTCACATTGGGGAAGTTATTCCCATGCCGTGAAGAAAGGCTCACCTGGCAAAGGACTGAGGACTGTGCCAGCAACCATGTGAGAGTGCCCGCCTTGGGCACGGCCCCCCAGCAAGCCTCCCCATGACTGCACTTCTTGCTGACATCCTGACTGCAACACCAGAAAGGTGCTGAGCCAGGAACACCCAGCTAAGCTGTTCCCAAATTTCTGACCACACCACCTCCCCTGCAAAACCTGTGACCTAATGGATATTTATCATGTGTTGTTTTAAGCTACTACGCTTTGGGGCTAATTTATTATGCAACATCAAATGAATCAGGAGAATGTCACAAGAGTTGTTTTTTCCTGGAAGCCCTGGAAAAAACCATCTCAAGAAGGCAGAAGTGGGGGGGTCAGGCCCGGGGTGCTCTTCTTCCCAGGGTGAGGAGATTTCAGTACTGGCTGTTGGGTTTCACAGTGCAGAAGTCACTGGAGGTGTTTCAGGGAGTGGCACCATCAAAGGCCTGACTGGAGTGGCTTCAAGAGAGAAAAAAAGAAGCTGGGAGGCTGATGGTGCAGCCAGTGTTTTCATGGGCCTTTGTTGCAGAGGACAATAGACGGTGGAGCAGTAGCTAGAGGGCTGCAGGTGGGGACAGCTTAATATATAGAGCCTGTTTCGATTCTGATGGTCATGACATACAACGGGGAGGAAAATGATGCAGGAGAGAGGGGTGGCTTCTGGACAAATACTCCTTTTTTAATTTTAAACGGGGTCTTGCCCTGTCTCCCAGGCTGGAGTGCAGTGTCGTGATCATAGTTCACTGCAGCCTCGACCTCTCAGGCTCAAGCAATCTTCCTGCCTCAGCCTCCTGAGTAACTGGGACTACAAGCAGGCACCGCCACACTCGGCTGGAATATTCTTGTGTAGACAAGTGAAGATGAAATTTGGAGCTGAAGAAAAGTGATTGGCTTGAGATGAGAGTAGGGAGTGTGAGAGGAAGAAGAGAGGCAGATGACTGGTAGGTGTGGTGGGATCAAGTGGACATTCTTTTCCCTCTTTCTCTCCCTCCCTCCCTCCTTTCCTCCATCCATCCATCCTTCCTTCCTTCCTTCCTTCCTTCTTCCCTCCCTCCCTCCCTCCCTCTCTCCTTTCCTCCCTCCTCCCTCCCTCCCTCCCTCCCTCCCTCCCTCCCTCCCTCCTTCCTTCCTTTCTTTCGCTCCTCCTCGTGTCTCTCCCTCCCTCCCTTTCTCTCTTCCCCCACCTCTCTGTTCAGTGAGTTAGGATGTGGGGACAGCAGCTGAGCATGCGGAGAGGCAGGACAGGGACACTGTGGGTCTAGAATGGAGCAGAGCCACTCCACTCTCAAGGTCATGTGCTTGTAGTGAGACATATCGGGATGATAGACTGTATTTTGCCAGCCACAGCCACAGTCACCTTGGCTGGGTACAGGCACATTATAAGCGGGAAGCTGGGTTCAACCAGAGTTACAGGTTTCCCAGAGGAGTTCAATAAAAGGGAAGAGGGGCACAGAAAAGGAGGCTGTGTGCCAAAGAGTGATTTGAGGTTGGATCATGGCATCTAAGGGAAAGGAAAGCATGAGTGAGATGGGGGAAAGGGGCAGATGGCAGGATGAATGGATCATGGGTCCCTGTGGCATTAAAGCAATACTGAGATCAGGTAAACAGGAATGAGGTAGGGGGTGGCGGGAATGATATTAAGAGCAGGGCTATTGCGCTTGCTGTCCATCTGCAAGGGTGGCTGAGATAGGGAAGAGGATGAGACCACTGGGAGAGGAGGCTAAGAATCTGAGATGCCAGGGATTTGGAAGAATCGTACATGTAGGTGATGGGTCTATACAGGCCCAAGATCACCAAGGATCATGGCAGCAGCAGGAAGAGTGATGTTGAACCTGGGGTTAAGACCCATGAGGAATAAAGAGCAGTGCCCAGATTGTATAGGATTTGCAGCAGTGATGGGTAGTCACCCACAGTGATATAGGCTAATGGCAGAAAGCTACTTGTGGGGTTCTTTAGGGAGGATAGGAAGATAGGAAGGGGCCATGAGGAGCACAGAGGACACTGACCCCACCCTGGGACCCAGGAGGATGAGGCGAAGGAGAGCAAAAGCCCCTGCTTAAGAGAACTGCAGAGAAAGCCGTGTCCTCGGAGAACAGGCAGATATCAGGGAGCGTACCACGGTGATGTTCAGAGAAGCTGAGCACACAGGGGTTTGTGCTGATGACCATGCACTTCACAGGCAGGGTGGAAAGGATATGGGATTTGGAATGAGTGAGAAATGGGGCTAATTTAATGGATTTACAAGGTCTTACTGAGTTGGGATTCTGGGTGGCGAGGAAGGACTGGGGCATCGTGGGTGTCCTGTAGTGACTGGAGTGAACAGGGATAAAATAAGGCACCAAGAGGCTGTACTGGAGTCTGGGTGCTGAACTTGGGGGAAGGGGAGGAGGCCAGGAATCTTTACATGAGCAAGTGGGGATCTGGGATCTCACTCCTGTCCTTGGTGGTGGCTGCTAGGGAGGGTTTTTTTGGCTGTAAGTTTATTCAATGCAAAATAATCCTCTCCAGTTTTACTGAGGTGGCTGACCACGTCCATGACCAAATCCGCCTCTAAACTGGAATTCGGTTGCTGACCCAGCCCCAGCCTTGGTTTTCTTGTTGGCACCAGGCGGCACATCCCTCCGCCTGTAGGTATCTCTGCTGGCTTCCCCTCTTGTGAGTCTGGCAGGCCTCTCACCCTCCAGACCTTTAGGCCAAGGCCTGCCTGTCTCTGGATGGCTGCGGCATAGGGTGACAGGCACAATCTCTGGGGGCAGATGAAGGTAGTCACGGAGATACTGGATACCCTTCTTGGTAAGATACCAGGCAAACTGTTCCTTCACATAGCCTTGGGACTTAAGAGACTGCATGGCGTTCATGACATGAAGGTGGGGCACATTCTTGTCTGCCAGCTTCGGGTGCTTGGGCATGTGGGCATCCTTCTTGGCCACCTTGACTCCCTCCTTACAAAGGAGTTTATAAATGGCAATCTGGTTCTTCTTAGGCATCAACATCTCAGTGGCTGTAGGGTGCCAGAGCAGGAAAGAAAGGAGCTTTTTTTTTTTTTTTTTTTTTTTTTTGGGACAGGGTCTTGCTCTTGTTGCCCAGGCTGGAGTGCAGTGGTGCGATCTCAGCTCACTGCAACCTCCGACACCTGGGTTCAAGTTATTCTTCTGCTCAGCCTTCTGAGGAGCTGCGATTACAGGCATGTACCACTACGCCGGCAAATTTTTGTATTTTGAGTAGAGATGGGTTTTCACCATGTCAGCCAGGCTGGTCTCGATCTCCTGACCTTGTGATCCACCTGCCTCAGCCTCCCAAAGTGCTGGGATTGCAGGCGTGAGCCACAGCACGTGGCCGGGAAGGGGTGTTTTGATGGAAAACCTGGGGTCCCTCCTCGCTCTTGCCAAGAAGGTAAAAGCAGCAATAACCGGATAAAAATTGCACAAACTCATCCTCAAGGATAAACAGAGAGCTCCATATACATTTTGGAGGTGGGTAAAATCAGACAACTTCACAGATCAGAGAAAGCTGGTGGGAGTGGGGGAATAAGAGGAAAGTCGTTTTTACTCTAGAACCCCAGAAAGGTGGAGAGGAGAAATGGTATGTATTTTTTCTTTTTGAGACATAGTCTGACATGACAGAGTCTCTCTCTGTCACCCAGGCTGGAGTGCAGTGGTGTGATCTTGGCTCACTGTAACCTCCACCTCCTGGATTCAAGCGATTCTCCTGCCTCAGCCTCCTGAGTATCTGGGATTACAGGTTCGCCCCACCATGCCCAGCTAGTTTTTGTATTTTTAGTAGAAATGGGATTTCTCCATGTTGGTCAGGCTGGTCTCCAACTCCTGACCTCAGGCGATCTGCCCACCTCAGCCTCCCAAAGTGCTGGGATTACCGGTGAAAGCCATCGCGCCCAGCGAGAAATTGTATTAAGGCAGGGTTGAAGTGGGTGCCAGAAACCAGAGAACAGGTTGGAGCTCTGCTTTAAGAATCACTTAGACTACTAGATTCTCTGGCTCTCATGAGACAGAGAGTAGGTCAGCTGCCCACATCCTCTGTCTTTCCTCTCTCTCAACAGCTGTTGAGAGCTTGAGGTAAGTCTCTGATGAGGGTGGACACAGAGGTGCTCTGCTCAGGGCACAGGGTGCCACAGAGAGACAATGTGTAGTGGGGGCTTGGGTGGGAACAGACATTGGGCAGTGAGACCCCTTTGCTCTGCTCCAGTTGGTGTCTAGAACTCTGGGCCTAGGCTTAAACCCCCAGGAAGGACAGCTAAGAGTCCTTTCTGGAGAAACAGGGCTGCGCAAGAGAAAAAAATAGAGCCACGCTCTGCCCAATCAGCCTGGAGCCCACAGCACCCTGCGGCATGCACGGGGCTTCCAGGCACTTCCATTCAAGTGGGTGGCTGAGAAGCTGCAGAGGTTTCCAGAAAGCTCTGAAGAAAGAGGTAAACAAAAGGAGAAAACAAAAGATATGATGGACACTTGGAGGACACAGAAAATATATAAAGCTTAGAAGAAGTTCAAAAGTTAAAACTTAAATATTTCCAGGGAAAATATGGCTTGCCAAAATAAAACATGCTGTGCTATGAAAAGGAACATTCAGAGAACAAATGGACCGTTTAGAAATTAGAAATGTGATTGTGTATATTGTAAACATTTGAATAGAATGCAACTTTGAGGTGCTTTCCCAGAGAGTAGGAATAAAGAAAAATAGATGACAAACAGGAGAGAGAAGATAATCACATCAGGCTCAGTGCAGTAGGTCCGAAATGGGGACTGCAAGTGTCAGAAAACAGCCCTGTGGGGGTGACAGGCCTGGGGCAAAGCACAGAGTGATCTCGAATGTGGCGAGTTGAGGCGCCTTTTGCCCAGCTCGTGCAGAAAACAAGAAAGGTTCACTTTCTTCTAGAGGCTGCTGCCATGTTGGTGGTGGTAAGGACAGCACAGGGCAGTGCTGTGCTGCAGGGGTGGGCAAAGCATTATCAGGCCCCCAGTAATGACATAGGACTTCAATTCCTGGGTGGTGGAAATGCACAGAGGCATTGTTGCGAAGGGGTGTATCAGGGGAACCAGCTAGGAGGTGGGGACTGAAGACGGGACCCCTGTTAGGTGGCTGACACAGTGGTCTGAGTGCCGGGGCTTGGAAAGGGGGAGGAGGCATGACAGGAGAGGCCTTGCAGAGTGTGGCTGAGCAAGGGGAGAGGGAGACGGAAACACTGGGGTGACCCAGGTGCCTGGTTGTGGGGTGTTACATAAGATTGATAAGAGGCCATTGATTTAGACTGAGCTCCTGCCCTCGGTCTAACAGCACAAACCAAAATGGGATCACCGTGCTAAGGTTGCACATCACCAAGCTGAAACCAAGCAGTTTATCTGAACTTCCGAGAAATTAGGAGAGAGAGGTAACAGCCAAATCCCTGAACAGGCCAATTTTGGCCAGCATGAAAAGGAAGTCCCCTCTGCTTTAACCTTTACAAGGAAGGTAACTGAAATGACCAATTCGCTTTTTGTTCCTTGTTTCTGCTTTCTTCAGTCTTTTGCTGTCTCTACAGCTGCCTGGGTTGCAGAGTGGAGTTCTCTAAACCTCTTCTGGTTTGGAGGGCCGCCCAATTTATACATCGTTCCTTGCTCAAATAAACTCTGTTAAATTTATTTTGTCTCACGTGTTTCTTTTCTTCTTTTCTGTTTTAGAGACAAGATCTCACTCTGTTGCCCAGGCTAGCCTGCAGTGGCGTGCTCATGGCTCACTGCAACCGTGAACTCTTGGATTCAGGCAATCCTCCAGCTTTGGCCTCCCAAAGTGGTGATATTACAGGTGTCAGCCACCAGCGTTCCAGCCCTGAAGTTTTTCTTTGTAAAAAAATTTTTTTGAGACAGAGTCTCACTCTGTCACCCAGACTGGAGTCCAGTGGCACCATCTTGGCTTACTGCAAACTCTGGCTCCTGGGTTCAAGTGATTCTCCTGCCTCAGCCTCCCCAGTAGCTGGGATTACAGGCACCCACCACCATGCCTGGCTAATTTTTTTGGTATTTTTAGCAGAGATGGGGTTTTGCCCTATTGGCCAGGCTGGTCTCGAGCTCCTGACCTCGTGATCCACCTGCCTCAGCCTCTCAAAGTGCTGGGATTACAGGCGTGAGCCAGCTCACCTGGCCAAGTTTTTCTTTTATCTGGGGCTATAGATAGGAGGAGGAGGCAGGGAGGAGGGATCGTCATCAGTGACTCAGGCTTGTGAAAAGGTGCTGCAGGTGTTGGGCTTTGCTCTCACAACGGGGTCCAGTGCAAACTGAGGGTGGGCAAATAGAGGGCCTGGGAGGAAAGCCTCAGCTCTGTAGAGAGGATGTGGCCAAAGGCCTTGGATAAAGTTCTGGCTTTTTCTTTGCAGAGAATGCAGAGGTCCGGGAGGAGCTCCTGGGAGCCCAGCCTTATTGGAGACTTGCTGCCCACCTGGGGTCTTGTGGCTCAGTGGGAAGCGTCTATGGGCCTGGGGATTGCACTGAGCTGGGCGCAGCAGAGATCTCCCTTGATGTGGCATATGCTAATTCCTTAAGACCCTGAGATGCAAAGAGCCGGGAGAAATACATGAAATGACTTGAATCTGTTCTCCTACCCTATCCCTCTCCCCAAGCCTGCCTCTCCTCCAGCAAGCCAGCTCCTGGCCTGACTGAGTTGTCCTTTCACCTTTCACTCAGCCCCACCTATGGTTTTTCCCATGCGTCCCCTCCTCCCAGTGGCTGTTTCCCTCCTGTGCCCACCCTCTCTCCCTCAGGACTAGAATGAGGCAGAGTCCTGGGATGGTGGCTTTAGGGGGTCCCTGGAAGGGCAGGTGGTGGGAGGGACTTCCCAGCTGTGCAAGTCAGTGTTTCTGATGGAGGGGTGAGGGAGGGGAAGGGGAGAAGGAGAAAGAAAGGGGGAAGAAGGGGAGAGGAGGAAGGAATAGAGAGACAGAGAGGGAGAGAGGAAGAGGGGTGGAGTGGGGAAGCGGGGGAGAAATGGAGAGGGACAGGGATGAAAGATCATTGGGGGAAGAAAGAGAGAAGAGAAAACACAGAGACAGAGAAACATGGAGGATTCCTGCAAGTTTGCAGCTGAAGGACAAAGGTGAGCCTGTGTGACATGTCGACGGATCAGCTCCATGAGGCTTTAATTTGGAGAACCTTCCAATGGTAATTTCCACCTCCGTTCTCTGGCCAATTCCCCTCTGACCCTCTATCCTGGGCAGAAGCTGTTCCCTGTTCCATTTGCCCAAGTCCAACCCACACCACACTCACCACCAGACGAGCAGGGCCGACAGCACCAGGCTCTTGGCTCCGAGGAGTCCACAAAGCACACGGAGCAGGGCGCTGGGGGCTGCAGGGCCAGGGCGGAGTGTGGAGTTCTGTGGCCTAGAAGGCAGAGGGACAAGAAGGGGAGAGGATGGGCTGGGGAGGCAAGTCTCTGTCTGCCAGCCCCTTCCCTGGCCTGCGTGGCTCTGGGTGCCCCACGAACTCACTGTGAAGGGACAGCGATGGTAGATGGAGACTCAGGGTCTTCTGTGGCTCCTTCAGTGGGAGGCACACAGCTCTGGGTCTGCGTCTGTGAAGAGACCAGGTTGCGGGGAGCCCAGGTGGTCTGTGTGGAGGCAGAGGCTGCCAGGGAGGAGAAGGGGCCGTGGTTAGCAAGTGGGAGACCCCACCTGTGCCTACCAGCAGGAAAGCGGGATGGGGAGTTGGGCCAGACTGGGAACAGAACCCATGGGCCCAGAGAAGAAAACTGATTTGGGGGGTGAGAACTGAACTGTGAAGTCCCCTGGCTCAGAATTAGACAGACCTGGGGCCTGGGCTCTACTGGGCGCCTGCAGTGGTATCTTTGAGTCCAGGGTGAGCGCTGGAAGAGGAGTCAGGAGGCCTGGCCCTCTCCCAGCACTCAAGTCTTTGGACCGGCATCCACCTGAGCCTCCTGAGGGTGGACACAGCCATGATGCTTCGGGCCCCTCCGCTCTCTGCCCTCCATTCTCTTTCTCGTGCTTCTGGGCCTTGGGAAGGGAGCCCCTTGTGGGGAAGCTGAAGGGCAGTTTTTAGATCCCTGCCCCTCTCAGTTCTGCCACACCACCCTGGACCCCCAGCCTCTGCAGCCCAGGGAATGCCTTTTGCAGCCCCTCTTGATTTCTGGGACTCTGTGAACTGACAGCGCACCACTCCTGCCGTTCACCTTCCCCCACCTTTTTTTTTTAGATTATAAAAACTTCCTCTTTAATCAAGGCTTACAACATGAACAGATTTCTTGAATAAAATGGAAAGTTTCCAGTACACTGAAACATAAATCCACAAGTCACCATACATATAACACCTGGCAGGAAAAAACAGAAACAAATTTATACGATCCCTGTAACAGCCATGGTCTTAATCTCAGATGCTTCCCCCATCTGCCAAGTGTGTTCTGGATACACAGGACACCGTGGCTTCTGGGGTCACGCTCAGCTGAGGCTGTGGGTCCACACAGCACTCATCTGGCTGGGCTATGGCGGTGGTGGCTCTATTCAAGAAGCAAAGCAGTTACCAGCACATTCACACAGTGTATTGAACATCTTATAATATCAAAGAGAGAAACAAGAAGGCAACATAATAATGTCATCAGTTAGGAAGTAAGGACGGCTGTGTAAAGCTTGAGGCTGACCTACCTGTGCTCAGAGCCCTTGGTGGAGGTGAGGAATGCTGGGAAAGTGATGGGGACTACTAAGGTCAAAAAGGCAATGGCTGGTTGGGTGGGTAGGGCCCAGAAGGAAAAGAAAGTGGGGTTGGACCCAAGGCTAGGAGAGGAAGAGGGGATTCTCAGTGTCTAGACCTAGGAGACAGGTCTACATACCTATTTGGAGTCCAGGAGTCAGGGAGAAGGGGAAAGAAGGGGAAAGGGCTGGGAGGGGCCTGGAGAAGAGGGTGCCTGAGGCTGGGCCATTCCTTGTTCCAGGGGCTGCCCTGGAATGTCCTCCCTGGAGAGAGTCACTGGCCAATGGACACATGGACATGATCCTGTCCCAGACACTCTCTCTGAGGCTGTCTAGGATGCTGGCCAGGATAACCCTGTGTTTGGGACGTTGGTAAAATTCTAGACCTGTGCTATTGAATGTGTCATCTGTGGGCTGATGCTGGCCTACAAATTGTCTGTAACCCCTCCACAACAAGGTAAGTATAAAAATTGAGAGTAGGGGTTTCAGAACTTTTATATCAATTTGATATTGCCTCAAGATCCAAGCACCCGATTAGTTAACTCATCTCATCTTATTGAACAGAATATAAACCTGCTTGGGTATTGCCAAATTAGCATGGAGAGTCGAAAATGGAGCGGGCTGTGTGCTAGTAATGCACAGCAGGACCATGTTACAGTGTATGAAACTTTAAAATTAGTTGTTAGTGGCCAGGCACGGTGGCTCACCCTGTAATCCCAGCAGTTTGGGAGGCTGAGGCGGGCCAATCACTTGAGGTCAGGAGTTTGAGACCAGCCTGGCCAACATGGTAAGACCTTGTCTTTACTAAAAATAGAAAAACTAGCTGGGTGTGGGGGGACACACCTGTAATCTCAGCTACTCAGGAGGCTGAGGCAGGAGAATCACCTGAACCCAAGAGGCGGAGGTTGTGGTAAGCTGAGATCACACCACTGCACTCCAGCCTAAGTGACAGAGCAAGACTCTGTCTCAAAAAAAAAAAAAAAAAAAAAAAAAAAAGCGCAGTGGCTTATACCTATAATCCCAGCACTTTGGAAGGCTGAGGTGGGCAGAACACAAGGTCAGGAGTTTGAGATCAACCTGGCCAATATGGTGAAACCTTGTCTCTACTAAAAATACAAAAATTAGCCAGGTGTGGTGGCATGTGCCTGTAGTCCCAGCTATTCAGGAGGCTGAGGCAGAAGAATCACTTGAACTTGGGAGGCAGAAGTTGAAGTGAGCTGAGATCGTGCCACTGTGTTCCAGCCTGGGTGACAGAATGAGACTTCGTCTCAAAATAAATAAATAAAATTAGTTGTTAGCTGTAACCCCAAAACATATAAACACCTGGAAAAATGTATAATTTTATAATTTATTATTTTTATAATCATTTGCATTTTTAATCAAATATATTTTTAACAGAATTTAGAGTGTAACATGATTAGCTAATTTAGAATAGATTAGTGATTACCTAAATAAAATTCTAATGAACACATAGCAAAACAAAAGCCACTGAACCTTTTGTCAAGAAAAGACACATCTTTTCTGAACGTGGCAGTGACAGTAAGCCAAATGAAGATGGTAGAACTGATTCGAAAGAAATTTTTTCCTTCTGCAGTTATTCCAAAGAGTTTGTGCTGGCTTTGTTTGAAAGTAGAATCCCTCATTTTGGTAGGCAGAATAAGGGTACCCCAAAATGTCCACTCCCTCATCTCAGGAGCCTGTGAGGACACTGCCTTCCATGGCAGAGGGAAATTTGCAGATGTATTAAGGTTGAAGACCTTGAGTTGGAGAGAGTAGCCTGGGTTATCCAGGTGTGCCCAATCTAAGTCAAGTCTGTAAGAGCAGAGAACGTTTCCTAGCCATGGTAAGAGACAGTTGCAGTGTGAGAGGGACGCCCATCCAGTGTTAATGGCTTTGAGGAGGGAGAAAGGGGGCCATGGGCCAAGGAATGTGGTGACCTCATGAAGTGAGGCAACCTTCAGTTTACACCAAGCCAAAAAACAAGATCTTGGTGTCTGATAGCTGCAGAAAACTGAATTCTGCCCAGGACCTGGGTAAAGAGAAAGATGATCTCCCACAGCCCCCTGGAGGGAACACAGCCTGCCGACCCTTGGTTTTAGTTCAGTAAGACCCATACTGGACTTCTGAGCTATAGAACTGTAAGATAATAAATCTGTCTTGTTTTAAGCCACAAATTTGTGATATATATATATATATATATATATATATATATATATTTTTTTTTTTTTTTTTTTTTTTTTTTTTTTTTTGAGATGTAGTCTTGCTCTGTCACCAGGCTGGAGTACAGTGGCGCGATCTTGGCTCACTGCAACTTCTGCCTCCTGGGTTCAATCAAAGCCTCAGCCTCCTGAGTAGCTGGGACTGCAGACATGCACCACCATGCCCAGCTAGTTTTTTGTATTTTAGTAGAGATGGGGTTTCATCTTGTTGGCTAGGATGGTCTTGATCTCCTGACCATTCATCTTGGCCTCTCAAAGTGCTGGGATTATAAGTGTGAGCCACAGTGCCTGGCCAGTTTATGGTAATTTGTTATGACAGCAATAGGTAACTATTATAGTCACATATGTGAGTTTTGTAGTTATAATTAGTGGGAAGTATTAAAACCTAGTGAGGTATTTATTGAGATGTATTGGGTAATGAGGCAAATGAACCTTAAAAACAAGTGGCATATACATATAAAACGGAAAAACACAAGGTCACAAAAAACTAATTGTTTTTAGGAAAAAAAAAGAGTATCGGATAGAAAAGCTCTCGAAAGCAATCCATATTTGACATAGAAACTCCGGACTTCTTGGCTTCTTGTAAAGTAACATTTTGTGTTGCAAAGACTAATAATTCATCTACATTGCCAAAACATTGCTGAACAACGTTTGTGTTACAATATTGGGTAATTTATAGCAAAGAAGGGAGCCTAATATCATTTTCCCTTGGTGCCTTAGGTCAACATATTCAGGAATTGGATAATGATATGGATGACCACTTCCTAGAATAAATGAAGCTAGCAAAATATTTTTCATGGCAATTTGGAAAAATGCACAGATATTGCTAGCATAGCTATTCTTATAGTATATGCAATTTGAACACAATGATATGAAGGAATTCTGAATTTCTAGTTTAATTGTCAAAAACACCACTAGCTCTGAACTGTTTAAAACTATGAAGGTTATATGATCAGCGTGTGGTTTGGAGGTTAAGTTTTAGGTAAGAGTATGTTCTGATGGCTGCAGTTGCAATGACAGGAAAACGTTCTGGAAAAGTCATCCAGATTAAGAAGCCTTGGGCTAGATTGTAAATTAACGCACTGCTTCCTTCATTGAGAGAGTTTTGCTATGAAAAAAAAAGCAGCTTAATTGGCCAGCGTGCTGACCAACGTGGACAAAATGGTGAATTATAATCATATAAGGTGAATATACTAAATTTCAGATCATTCTCTTTAGTATGTGGAAATATGGGCACAGATCATAAACAGCTACTATTGCATGTCAAATTAAAAGTTTTGTTGAGAATGTTTCATTTATAGAAATAATTCCTAACGTTTCTTCAGGACAAGAAGTCAGTTTAGTACTAATGCTAATTGCACCATCAGGCTTGTTTATACTGTAGTTCTGATGTTAATATTTCTGATGTTGCAAGGGAGAAAAGCAACAGATTTTTCAGTGGCAAATAAAGTCTAACTGCAAAAGTAAAAGAAGAACCATTTCTATCAATTGCTATGACATGGTCTTAATTTACATTTATCAACAAAATAGATGATAATCTTCATCCTGCATATCTTCACAAGTGCTGATGGGTAAACATTAATAATTTGATAGCATGTTTTGAATTTTGTTTTTTGTCGAAAGAAGATATATACAGAGGAAATTCATAGATCTAAAATCCATATTTTCCCATAAAAAGATGCTTTAAACTATAACTTTTAGAATAAAGTTTTGGAACTGGCTACTGATAAAGGATTGAAGATGCATTTTTAAATTATAGCATCATTTTCTTCCTTTTGTAAAAGTTAAAAATAAAACTGTTGAGCTTGTCAGAATTGCTTTAAAATTTCTTCTATTTCTGACAATATACCTCTGTGAGACCAGTTTTCTGGTGTTCTACTATGAGTATTGTTTTTTTAAAAATCAACACAATTTCTTTATACATCATCTCCTGAGCGATGTGGTGTCATAAATAGTTCTCAGATTAGGTAAGTTAACAAGTAAGAAGAGTGCTCACCTGTCACATTAGAAGCCTTAAATATAGATAAATGGTGTTTCTTTGAAGGGTGCATATTGGCATTCAATATGGAGAATTGCTATTTCCTTTCTAAGGAAATGTGTGTTAAGTTTTAACCAAGGAATCACAAAACATTATGGGTATACCGTTAAGCCACTCCATCAACCACCTTTAGCACACTTTCAAATGAACAATGAACATAGTTTTTATATTTTTTTCCTATGTGATATTTGTTCTGATTATGTTTATTAAAATGAAATTTTATGTTTGCCAAATTTAATAAACTCTGGGCTTGTACTTTGTATGTCTTCTTCTCATTTTACTTTTCTAGTAATTTATTTTTACCATATAATTGCAGATTTATGTTTTAAAAAAGGTGCCCTTCTACAGGAACTTTGAGTAGCTCTGCTCTGGGCTGGAGGATGGCACACTTTCTGTAAAGGGTCAGGGATGGGCCATGTGGTCTCTGTCACAACTGCTCTATTTTGCTGTCATAGCATGAAAAGGGCGACAGATAATAGGTAAATGAGGGGGCGTGGCTGTGTTCCAAAAAATCACTCTACTTCTTGGCACTGAAATTTGAATTTCCTACATGTCTCAAAATATTATTTTTCTTTTGATTTTTTTCAGTCATTCTTAGTTATCAGGTCATAGTTTGCTGACCCTGATCTGGACTATGAGGGGTGGACAGAGCCCTACCTAGGTACTAAGGGGCCACTGGCTCTCCATGGTGGGGGCAGCCAGTGGATGCATCTTTCCTGGGCACCTGCTATGTACCAAAGATGCCGGGCAGTCCTGCCCTCTGGTAGCAGTGTCATATGGGCTGACTGCTCAGCGTGCTCACTGGGTCTGTTTCAGCATCTCTCAGGAGGCCCAGGCGGCAGGCTTGGGAGTCATGGAGACTGAGATGGCTGCTCATGTGCACAAATGAGTTTCCCTGCACCTGTTCCTAACAGCCTTCCCAGGAGACTGGGTGTGGGTGTGGGTGGCTTCCATGATTTGGAAACTGGGGGTGATGGAGGTACCAAAAGGAGGTGAGGGGCATCACCTTGAGGACCCTAGGGAAGGGGCTCACCTGGAGACACCACCAGATAGAATCTGACGGACTTAGAGACAGAGTTGTCAGAAGGGCGGTAGATTCTACACCAGTAGTGTCCTGAGTCTTCCTCTCTCAGATCAGTCGTGATGACAGTGAAGAAGCCAGCATCAGGGTCATCCCAGATTGAGAATCGAGAGATCGAAGCCAGCGTCCTGGGCTTGGAGCTGGTGACTAACCTGATGCACTTGAATGCTGACGCCTCCTTACACCAGCCTTTTGTCTCGTAGAGCCTGCTGGTGGATGGGTACTGACATCTCACCGTCAGAGTCTGCCCTGCCTCTTTGTGAAGGACCTGAGCCTTTGATTGTGCCTGAGAGCCTGGAGAATGATGAAGCAGCGCATAGGTCAGGGCCACACGCACAATCTGCCTACACACCAGGCCTCTGGCCACAGAGCCACCTGCTCCCTGACCCTGCTGTCCTGACAATCCCCACCACACCCATCTCCTCTGCTCCCACCACAGGCATCTCCTCTGCTCCCACCACACGTATCTCCTCTGCTCCCACCACACGCATCTCCTCTGCTCCCACCACACACATCTCCTCTGCTCCCACCACACCCATCTCCTCTGCTCCCACCACACACATCTCCTCTGCTCCCACCACACACATCTCCTCTGCTCCCACCACACGCATCTCCTCTGCTCCCACCACACCCATCTCCTCTGCTCCCACCACACACATCTCTTCTGCTCCCACCACACGCATCTCCTCTGCTCCCACCACACCCATCTCCTCTGCTCCCACCACACCCATCTCCTCTGCTCCCTGGGCTGCTCCTCCCCCTCACCTGGGAACAGCAGCAGCAGCAGCAGTAGCAGCCATGGGTGTGGGGCTTGCCAGGCCATGTGGCCCTTTTCCTGTGTGCTGGTGGGAGGGGAAACCTGGAGATGACCAGGGAGAGGGAACTGGGAGCTGGACCTGATTTTGCTGCTCTTTCAGCACCTCTGATAAAAAATAAGAAAGGTCAAGGCCTGCACTGGGGAGATGGGAGGCTTCAAAGGGCAGATGCTATGGGCACGGGGAAGTGGGGATCTCCAGCTATAGGTGAGTCTGGGCCCGGTGGACTCAGTGCTGTCTGGCATGCAGCTCCTGGGCCTCTGTATACCATGCCTGCTCTCCCCTGTTCCGAGCTGCCTCTCCCCACCAGGAGGAGACCTACCCGCAAGGGAGGAGCTGAGAAGGCTGGGAGGAAACTGTGGGTGAGTAATGGGCTGCCTCCGGTTCACTCTCTGTGTGCACTGCCTCTTCTTCGCAGGCCCTGGCTTTGCTGCTCTCTCCAGGGAAAACCAGGCTGAAGGTGGATGACAAGCTCAGGGACACTTGGAACCCTGATCATGAACCCCAAGCCCTACTGGTCATGGGGTGGCCAGGAACATCATGCCCAGGCCTGTGTGGTGGGTCAGTGATGTGTTTCCACTCTGGAAGGTTTCGTGGGTGTGGGAGGGGAGAGGGGAGAGGAGGTGGAGATTCAAAACCAGAAAGGGAGTGTAGGGAGGGTCCCTGGCAAAGGCAGGGGAGGGAGGGTTGGGAGAGCACATGGAGCAGGGTTCTTCAGAAGGGATGCATCAGTGGGGTGGGGGAGAGGGAGCCCAGGGACTGGACGGGGCCCCATCTCTGCATCCTCGAACCCCACCACTTAAGTACCCTGGAGAAATATTGCTTAATTAAAACATAAACAGATGAAAGACCCTACATCTCTTTCTTTAGTTAATGTCGGTGCGTTGAAGATTTAATTTTAAAATAAGATGCAATTTACAAAGAGAGCGAGCTACTATATCTTAGGAGGGGTAGGGATGCTGTGTGTAATTGCACTTGCACCGCTGGGGCTCTGCTGGTGTGGCGTCTGCTGCCGGGGGCTCTGTGTACAGAGGTAATAACTGCGATGGGAATTGGAACCTGTCTAGTGGGCTCGATTCCACGTCCACTGCTTTGCCTGTCTGTGGACTTCTGCTCCCCTTGCCCCTGGACTTCTGCTCCCCACTCCGTGTCAGCACAGCACACTTCTCCTTGTGGTAGGAGTGCACGGAGACAGAATGGGAAGGGCAGAAGGGTAGGCAAAAGGAGGACACAGTAGGGCTATCAGATGTTGGTGCCCAAGGGACCAAAGTGGGAAAGCAGGCTGCAGCTCTGGAGCTAGAAGACAGCTCAGGGAGCGATATCTGCCAGTCACTCACACAAGCATGTTTGCAAAGCGTGCCCATGCACACTTTCTCGAGGCCCTCAGGATGTTTGCGAGGGAGGTATTACTTTTCTTTTTCAAAGATGTGGGAATTGAGGCCCAGGTATGGTCAGCTACCTGCTCAGGGTCTCACGGGGAGTAAGTGGCATTACCAGAACAGGCCTCCTGACTTCTGCCTGGAGGCTTCCGGCTGGTCTGGTTGAAGTGTGACCCACAGACAGGACAGGAAACTGGGGGTGAGAGAGGCTCCCACTGAATCACACGCACAGGCAGAGGTGAGCTTGTAGGGGGTTTCCTCATCGACAGTGAGGGCTCAACTTCTCCTTGAACCTGATTATGTACCAAATCAGGGTGGGGGCACCCTCCCGAGGGGGAGGAAGGTAGTCCTGTCCCCAGATGGCACCGAGGCATGTCACCGTGTATGTGTGTGGGGGGTCAGCAACTGTGTTCCCATGCTGACTTTCCCCTTCTCTGACTGCTGCTGACTCTGAGAAGTGACAGCTCCTCCCTGCAGCTTACAAGAGCACCCCTTGCTGTGTGCCACCAGTGTGTGACTCTTCAGTCTGCAGCCGGCTCTGCATCATTCTCTGCTGTGTCAGGGTTTGTCCTCTCTCCCGAGGGGACAGGAGCTCTCAAAGGGAGGGGGATCTGCCCCTCTCTCTGTGCTGTGGCCTCCCCACCCATGTGAGTGGGGTGGGCACTCTCTGCATAGACTTGGGATCTTGACCCCCTTAGGGGAGGACCCTGCTGGAACCATCTGCACCTTCTGCCTCCTCTGGTCTCTGGGATCTGGAGGCAGGGAAGCCTAGGCTTAGGCTCAGCCCCTCATCCAGGCTGGGCTGGTCCTGCTCCCTGGGGACTCGCAATAGCCCTTGTCACAAGTTGAATTTCTGCAGGAGGGACTGGGCCAGGTAGCTGTGCTGAAGGAATTGGGAAGTCTCTTGAAGATCTAGGGACAGTGCCACCCCCTTGGCACTATCAGAGCAGGGCACAGCGAAGTCTTGTCAAAGGGCTTAGGGTTCTGGGCGTTTCTGGGTTCTCTGCCCACCCTCTGAGAATGTCCCTCAGGGAACTTGGGAGCCTCAGCAACCCCCTCTCCCAAACTTATTGTCATGGATACTCACAGGAGCCTGGAGAAGGAGCTGGGCAAGCTGGAGATTTTGCATTCCTAGGGCAACCAGTCCTCCTTTTATCTCCCTGGACGGATCTGGGGGCAAACTAGAGCTCAGTTTCCCTGCCTGTAAAATAGATATATGACACTTTTCCCCTTTCAGTCCAGGCTGTCCAGTGGCTTCCTCTCTGACCTCCGCTGTGGGGACCCCAGTGGGTCTGCCAGAGCTAAGTGGGTCTGGGTTCCTTTCTCCTTAGGCCCCTCCTCAACAGACACAAGTGTCGAATTCACAGGAGCGGGTCAGGAGAGGCTCTGATTTGATTCTAGGTGGACCAGACCCCACACCCACTAACTTAGCTCAGCTTTGGGTTCGGTGTCCTCCATATCTGGGTGCTCATATGTGGTTGAAATGAGGTTTCTGTCCTCCCTAGGGACCAGAGGGACTTACAGGTCTCCAAGCCCCTACCCTTCTTCCACCTGTCCTTGCCCTTAGGTGTTAAGGTGGAGAGGAATGCCACGGTCTCAAAAGAAGCAATGGGGAGAAATCCAGTGCCTGCTGGGTGGGGACTAGAGGCAGATAGGGGGAGGCAAGCGGTGCCTGGGAAGCTGGACTGCTGGGTCTGGCAGTGATTTCCACCCTCACCTCTGCCTGAGCCTGCCCTGCATACCTCTCACGCTTACCCAACCAAAGCCTTTGCCTTTCTCATCTCCCCCACCCCATGGGCTATGGCGTCTGAATTGAAGCGTCTCCAGAACCCTCGTTCTAGCTACCCCAGCATAACGAGAAGGTGACAGGGTGCTGGAGGCTCCTGCTGGAGGGAGTCCTGCTGGTGTTCCTGACCTTGGGTGAGGGGCAGGGGAGGAGGGCACTTCAAGGGGCAGGGAAAGGGAGGGAGAAAGGAATGGGCGGTGCGAAGAGGTGTGATGGGACTTGGGGAGCAGCTGTGGCAGTGGGTAGAGGGCTGTCTGGGGTCAGCTTTGGGTGGGACGCCTCATTCCTCAGACTAATCTGAAGGCTTGTTCTCTGGCTCCTGGGCACAGAGACTGGAGGCCCTCAGGGTGACTTAGTATCACGGCTTCTCTGTCTGCTTTGGTCTAGCCAGCCCCTGCCTCTCTCTTTTCTGGGAAAGCCTCCCTCCCCTGGGGGCCCAGTCAGCCCTGGCCTGAGAAACCCCAGGCTGCCCTTGCCTCCTCTGTCTTGTCATCAGCTGTACTTGCTTTTCTAGCCAGGCCCAGTCCAGCCTGCACCAGCGTCTCTGAGCCCAGGTAGATCTGAGTCTCACGGGAAGGGTGGGTTAGCCTCTGATGCAGAAACGGGGAAACCGGGGAGCCTTAGACATCTGAAAGTGATCCCCAAAACTCAGCTCAGGGCTAAGCTAGGTTGGCAGAGGTGAAACAGTAGTTGTGAATTTCCTCTGTGATAGAACCAGAAGTAGCAGGGACAAAAGGGAATTTCTCTCAGTACTTATTTCACAACTGAGGGAGATTTGGTCCAGAGAAAGCAAGTGGCCTGTCCAGAGTCACTCAGCTATTTCAGGGCCACACTAGGACTGGCACCCAGGCCTCCTGCCTCCTGCCTGCTGTTCCTCCTGGGCTCAGAGATTCTCCATGGGCACCTCCTCAGCCTTCACCCAGGCTCACCTATTTCAGATCCAAGGAGTCTTCTCCCTGAACCCCAACAAGTCTGCTTATACCTCTGGCCCCAGTGGCTCTGTGCTCTGGCTCCAGCAGGATCCTTCAATCACCAGTTGCCCTGACCGGGTTATCCCCACTTCCATGACAATGGTCCCATAACAATGGCCCTTCCTGGTCCCAGGATGCCAGGTGCAAAGCACCTGGTCTCAAAGCAGCTTTTTCCCTTGAGTGGTCAGAGGGACCTGAACTACTGCCCATACAAGCCTGCAGTCTGGGGGCACAGCTGCTTCACAGGAAGCTCAGGGTGGGACAGGCACAGAACCAGCCTCCACCCTAAGCACCCTGGGGCGAGGCCTGGGCTCTGGGAGTACAGAAAGCAGCCATCACCCCCACTGGGTTCTCCTTGCTTCTTTTCCTTCCTTACTCCACGGAACCAACCCCATCCTCCAACCCCTGCACCCCATTCAGCCACCCACAGGGCCCTGGCCTCTGTGCTGCCTGGTGCTGTCAGCCCTACATGTGCTCCTGAGCTGCAGGCTCGAGTGGGGGGAACGTGGCTGGGTTTGGTCTGAGGCCAGAGGGTGGAAGTGAAATGGAGCACAGTGGGGACAGCTGGGCTGGGAAAGGCAAAAATTAGGGGTGGGGTTTGAAAATTATCCTTTACATTGATTCGAATATCCTTTGGCCGTCATCTCATTGGTTGTTACAAGCCAATCAAGATCCTTGCCTTTAAACTCTCAGGCCCTCACCCAAGTGTACCCACACTCACACAGACATTTACTGCACTCCCTCCTTCAGCAGACCACTCTGCTTCATAGAAGCCAGCCCCAAGTCAGGGGGTGACAGTGCTGGAGGAGGGCAGTCCTGGAGAGGAGCAGGGCCAGACGGTGCACACCCTTCACCAACACCACGGGGGCAGC